AAATTTAGCAGAACAACAAACACCAAATGCTGGTGAGGTTGTGGAGAAACTGGAACCCTTCTTCCCTATTGGTGGGAGTGTACAGTAGTGCAACCACTGTGGAAGGCGGTATGGTGCTTTCTCAAAAATTTGCAAATAGAGATACCATTTGACCGAGCAATTCCACTACTGGGAATATACCCCAAAGAGACCATAAATGACATCTAAGCATATATATGCACACCCATGTTTATTGCAGCTTTGTTCACAATAGCAAGGAGTTGGAAACAACCTATGTGTCCTCAACAAATGCATGGATAGAGAAACTGTGGTATATTCACACAATGGAATACTACACTGCATTGAAAAACAAGGAACTAATGCAATATTATTAAAAATGGGCGACCCTAGAGGACATTATGCTTAGTGAAGTATCTCAGTCACAAAAGGACAAATACTGCATGGTACCACTGTTGTGAAACAGAACTGACATTGGGGTTGGGGGGAGACTGAGAAAGATGGGTTCAATTGAAACAGATAAAGGAGAACAGTGTTTAAAAGGGATTTGTGATTAGGTATTCTTGTCCTGACAAAAGTTCAGAGCAAAGGCTGCATAGTAATAGTGGAGTGGACCTGGGGCAGTGTTTGTAAAACAAGGAAACAATTTTTCTTTTGCTTTTCCAAGAGGGTAGTGTACTAGGGGGGAGGGTTGGGAGGAGAGAAAAGTGTTAACAATGAATGAATGAACCCCCCCACCGGAAAAGAAAAGAATGGCAAGGATTAAATGCATTAATAGAGAAAAGAAGGATGATAAATCACAAATGCAAATGAGACAAATACGTATATTCTGTGAATAAAAAAAAGAAATTTAGAAAATTGATATAGTGATTTTGCAATTTATATTTTTATATTGCTTGAGTTAGTTTTACCATTAATTTTCTTGAGTTTTACATACTGACGCAAATAGAATTCTTTCTTCCTAAAAAAAAAAAAATAGAATTAACATGTTGGCAGTTGTTGTTGTTATCGAGTAGCTTGCGACTCATAGCGACCTAAACCCTGCTCTGTCCTGTGTCGCATTGTCTCTGACACTCCCATCCTGGTTGCCCCAGTCACTGAATTAATCCACCTCATAGAGGGTCTTCCCCTCCTGCGCCGTCCCTCCAACCTCCCAAGCATGGCGTCCCTCTCCAAGGACCTGTCCCTCTTTATAACATGTCCAAAGTATGTCAGACAAAGCCCCAGAATCCTTGCCTCCAAGGAGGATCCTGGTTTAACCCTCTCTAGGTTGAATCTGTTTGTTTTCTTGGCAGTCCATGGTACATTCAATACTCTTCTCCAGCACCACAGCTCAAAGGCGTCAATTCTCCTTCTATCCTCCTTGGTCATTGCCCAACTCTCTGATGCATAACAAGTGATTGCAAAGACCATGGCCTGTATCACATACACCTTAGTCTCCAGCATTGGCAGTGGATTTTTTTTTATTTGTTTTTTTACTTTTTAAACCTTCATGATAACATATTCAAAGTACAAGAGACAAAGTGTCTCTTCATACTGGCTTCTAAGGAACATTCTGGCTGTATTTCTTCCGAGACCATTTCCACTTTTTGCCAGGAAAAGAAAGCTTCTCTATTTGAAGAGGGTTTAGTTTCTTGGTGTAACTGTCTAGTGCCTTTTGCGGAAGGCAAGCTGCCACAGCAATGGGAACAGGAGGAGGCAGGCACTGAGCCCTGCCCAACAGTGATCCTATCTTATTGTTGGATGTATGTGAAGTGAGAGGTTGCATCTCCACAACCTGGAGCAGCCCTCCCTTATAAGTGTCATTTTTCTGTGCAAATAACCCTTCCACACACTAACTCAGTTCTGATTAGGATATAAAGTGGGTCATGTACCCCATGGAGCTCACCAGTTCCTCAGAAGATGACCCAGGACATATATGGCACTGTGTAAAGTGGTTACTGGTACAAATGTAAACAAGATCTAATCTCTTTCCTAACCTCTGAATCTGATCTCAAATTTTACTGTGATCTTGATGGAAGAAGATCAAGGAGGTGGTGGGCAAGGCTGTACGAAAGTAGAGAAAAAGACGCACACTCTGCTTATGATTTTTGTTTATTAATCTTTCTTCCTTACTTCAACAAATATTTTTTTTTTTTAGAAATCAAAAGGTTTTTTTTAATTGGGGGTATTTGCTGTTAAGGACATTTCCTAAGCTCTAAAGGGGGGGGGAGTGTCATTTTTTTTTTATTATTAAAATTTATTAGTTTCAATGAACACTCACAGGGATTCTGGGCTTTCACTCCTTCATTGCCGCACCTTTCTCTCCACCCTCCGCCCCAGTTTTCAACAAATATTTTACAACAGACATGAGATAAGGTTGAAAGGAAGGGCTGTAGTCCCAAGAGCGACCTGGTTTCTTCAGGGTTGAGCCCCAACTGCAGTCATCAAGCTTCTGAAAGGCTCAATATTGTGCAGTTATTTGTAGGGTCTCTGCCGCCCGGCTGGGTGAAGCAATGAGAGTGTCTTGGGATATATGCACTTCCTGATCAACCACTAGTTGTCCTGGCTTGATCCTTCCCATTTCCTTCCTCCTCCCTCCACCCACCAAACTGTGCAACCCTATGATTTTACCCCTCCCCATCCTCATCCCTCTACTACCACCTCTTGGGTTCCCGTGTGTATTTTACTGGATATCCTTCTATTTCTACAATAATGGTCTTATGCAGTATTTGTCTTTATGAGACTGTGTTAGTTCACTCAGCGCAATGATCTCCAGTTTCTCCCAAGTTGCATAGTACTTGTTGCTCCTGAGTACTGTATAGTATTCCATTGTGTAAATATACCATAAAAAATTTCTCGATCCAGTTGTGGTTAGACATTTGAGCTGTTTCCATGTTCGTGTGATGGTGAACACTGTTCCTATGAACATTGATGTACAAGTGGCCATTTGTGTCTCAGTTCTAACTTTTTTGTGGTATGTTCCTAGTCATTGTCCAGCTTTCTGATGTATAGCAAGTAATTGTAAAGACCATAGCCTGGATCAGGCACATCTTAGTCTCCAGACTGGCATCGTTGCTCTTCAATACTTTGGAGAGGTCTTGAACAGCAGACTCTCCCAATGCAATTACTCTTTTAATTTCCTGGCTGCTGGTACCAAGAGTGTTAATTGTGGAACCAAGCAAACGGAAGCTATTAATAGTCTCAATCTCTTCACCATCTATCACGATGCTGCCAATTGGCCCAGTGGTGAGAATCTTTGTTTTCTTAATGCTGAGCTTCAATCCATGTTTAAGGCTATAGTCCTTGATCTTCTGCAGCAAGTATCACAAAGCTGGACAATGATTAGGGATGGTAGAAAGAGGACTGATGCCTTTGAGCTGTGTGGTGCTGGAGAAGAGTATTGAATATACCATGAACTGCTAGGAGAACAAACAGATTCATCCCAGAGAGGGTGAAACCAGGATGCTCCTTGGAGCCAAGGATTCTGAAGCTTCGTCTGACATACTTTGTATATGTTGCAGGGAGGGAGCAGTCCTTGGAGAGGGACTTCATGCTTGTGAAGGTGGAGGGACAGCACAAGAGAGCAAGACTCTGGATGAGATGGATTGACTCAGTGACTGGGGTAATGGGAGTACATGTGTCAGAGACAAAAAGGTTGGCACAGGATAGAACAAGGTTTATGGCTGTTGTACATAGGGTCACTATGACTGACAAGTGACTTGATGGCACATAACAACAACAACAGCAACATATTCCTAACAGTGGAATAGTTGGGTCACACAAAGTTTCTGTTTTCAACTTTTTTGAGGAAACACCAAACTGTCTTCCAGAGTGGTTGTACCATTTTACAATTCCACCAACAGCGTATGAGAGTTTTCATACTCTCTTGAGCTCTGGTCTATTTCAGCTTCTGGTCTAGAATCTGTTCTAGTATTCTGGGTTTGACCTCAAGTCTCCGACAATCCCATGAAACCCCTAATCTCCTGTGCTTCATAGAATTTTGCTGCACACGAAATACCAGGTTTCTGGCTCCCAAACCCTCTCCGGTGGAGCTATGTTCCCTTGCCCCAACCTTCCCATCAAGGGAGAAGCACTGGACACTTAACTGTCCAGAGATAAGGCATGTCTGTCTGAAACTCCATACAAACAGGGAAAGACCTATGATGATGGGTGGCACTTCTCACTCATGATCTCAATGACTTCTTGCCTTGTTCACTTGAAATTTCACCAATTCCATCCCCTTCCTCTTTCAGGGGAGAGTGGGTATAAGAAGAAGCTCAAGAGTGAAAGTGAGAGAAAGCTGAAAGCAAAGGAGCTGAGACTGCAGCGTCCTTCTGAGAAGCTCTTCCATGAGGAACTTGGTGAACAGAAAATGCTCCTAGGACTGCTCACCTCCATTCTCTTCTGGCTTCCAGGTGAGTGTAGGGCCTGAGCTTCCACCCATCAGGGAAATCTATTCAGCAGGTGGGAGGGGCTGGAAGTCAAAGGAGGGAGCCTAGCAGGAAGCTGGCCCTATTTCTAAGTCGTTGTTACACATCATGCTATAAGTCTGCGTGTTCCATTCACTCATTCACTTATTTAGTTTATGGTTCATCACCAAGGAGTCTCTGGGCTTGAACTGCCAACTAGTAGCCTAACGTTTAGTCATTTAGTACAACAGTGTTGTTCTTGTCTACTGTCAAGTCAGAACCAACCCATAGGTGACCCTCCAGCAATTTTTCAGAGACAGTTAATTGCACGGTGGTAAGATAATGCATCCTTCTCTCATGGAGCAGCTGGTGGCCTCAAACCATGTACCTTTGGGATTGCAGCACAGCTTTTTGCCACTAGGCCACCTGAGCTCCTCTAGCACAATACTAACCCAATATTTAGCCATTTGCACCAGTAAAGGAGCCCCTATAGCCCCTGACAAGTGAAAACTTTCGATTGTATCATATTCTCATAAAGCTAGAATTCATAGTGGTCAGAGCTGAGCACGGGCACCACAGTGCAAAGAGCTAAAACACAAGACACATGCCAGCTTGGAAGAGAAACTGAGCCACAGGCTTCAATCTGCTCTTTATGAAATCTGAAGGGAACTAAGAAAACCTCATGTATTCTTTTGAGGAAAGATTCATTTTCATGCTTTCTTTTCTGGAAAAACATTTCTGTGTCACAAATGAAAGATAGCAGTAAGCTAATATTTTTAAATTAGAAAATATTTTATTTGCACTAAAATACATCTGAAAATTGTCTATAGTCAATAAAATTTGAGATCCAAAGGAGAAAAACCTCTCAAATGGCTTGATTCAATTAAAGACAATATGGAAAATACGAAGACAGACTTACAATAAAGTAAAGCAAGGGAGTGCTGGTAGCATAGTCGGTAGAGAGTTGTACTGCTAACCCAAAAGCTATATTTCTCTGGTGGTTTGAATCTACCAGCTACTCTGAGAAAAAAAAAGACAGTCTCCTTCCATTCAGTTTGCATTCTTGGGAACACTACTGGAGCTGTGAGCTGGAATGGATTTGACAACAATGAGAGGCAAGAATAAAATAATAAAAATGAAATTACCACATTTAAAAATATATGTGTCACTATGAAGGTTATATTTAAAAGTAAATTCTTTTTTTTAAAATTTTTTTATTTTATTATTTTTGTGTGTGTGTACCGTCAAATCAGATCTGATTGGTATAGGAGGAGATTGTCCCTCCTTCCCTGGCAGAGCATCTGGTGGATTTGAACCGTGAGCCTCTAGGTTTGCGGTGCAGCTTCTTGCCACTAGGCCACCAGAGCTCCCCTAAAAGTAAATTCTTAAGTAAGTTTTTGCACTTTACCAATAAGTCAATCATTAGGTTACCATATAAACAGAAGTTCTATTCCTAGGTATGTTGTTTGAAAACATATTTTTACAAGAAGATTCACATATGGATATTCAAATAACCAAAAAAAGTAGAAACCCCCACATGTTAGCCACTCAAGAGTGAATAACAAGATGTAGTAGAACCAAAGAATGAAACACTGTTCTACCACAAAAGCAAATTCAGTAGTCACGCATGCTACAGCCATAGGTGAACCTTGAATAAATTATGCTAAGTGGAAGAACTCATATAGAAAAGGCTATGTATTGTATTTTTCCAATCTTATGAAATATCTAAACAGTCAATTGTAATGACAGAAAGTAGAAGAGTGGAGATGACAGAAAGTGGAATAGTTAAGTGGGGAAGAAAAAAACCTGGAAGATAAGAAGATACCAGCTACCTTAGATCTAGCAGACAATTTCATCTTGCCTGGATCCAGAGTCAACATCCAAGCAATCAAGAGATTGAGGGATATGTATAACATCAAGAAAGTCTGCCATAGGGAATCTCTCCAAAGTCCTGAAGAGCAATGATGTCAGCTTAAAGACTAAGGTGAATCCTATTCAAGCCACAGTCTTTAAAACAACCTGCTATGTATACCAGAGCTGGCCAATGAATAAGATGGGAGGAAGAATTGATGCATTTGAGTTGTGGTGTTTGAGAGGAGTCCTACATATCCCGTGGACTGCCAAAAGAACAAATAGATATGTCTTGAAGAAAGTGTAACCAGAATGTTCCTTGGAGGCAAAGAAGGTGAATCTTCATCTTACATATTTTGGACATGTTGTTAGGAGAGGCTGTTCCTTGGATAGGGACGTCATACTTGGAAAGGGGAAGAGTCAATGAAGTCAGTAAAGGAAAGAATAACTCTTGGTGAGATGGATTGATACAGTATCTGTAACAAGGGACCCAAATGTGTCAAGGATTATAAAAATGACACAGGATAGGACAGAGTTAAGATTTCTTGTTCATGGGCTCACCATAAATTGGTCTTGACTTGATGCACTTAGCAACAACAACAACAACAACAATGTACTTTAGATAGAGGAAAGCATTCCAAGAAGGTCAAGTACCAATTTCTGAGATGGGAATGAGCTTGACTTTGGCATTTTGGAGTAACAAAAAAAGACAAACTTAATTTCCTAATGTGGTTCGACAGACTCAGATATCAGGTTGGGTGAAAGGTCTCAGGGAAGAAGAGTGGTGTGCCCAAGATTGTGAACGTTGTGGCAGTAGAACATCGTAGTCTACCTTCCTGAGGGTCTTCAGTTCAAAAGAATCAAGTCAGAAACTTATTTCCTTCTGTGGAAACTGGGCTTCTGTTCATTTTTTGACCACCAGACCAGTATACAAAGGAGCTCAGTTGCTAATGGAAAGTTAGTGGTCATTAGGACCTACCCAACAGCCCCTCAAGAGAAAGGCTTGAAATCTGGCTCCCCAAATTTTACAGCCATGTAAATCCTATGTTGTTGTTGTTGTTATGTGCCATCGAGTCGTTTCCGACTCATAGCGACCCTATGTACAACAGCCCTAAACCCTGCTCTATCCTGCACCAACCGCACCGCCTCTGACACACCCATCCCGATTACCCCAGTCACCGAATCAATCCACCTCATAGAGGGTTTTCCTCTCCTGCGCTGTCCCTCCACCCTCCCAAGCATGATGTTCCTCTCCAAGGACCCGTCCCTCCTGGCAACATGTCCAAAGTATGTCAGACGAAGCCCCAGAATCCTTGCCTCCAAGGAGTAGCTTGGTTTAATCCTCTCCAAGATAATGCAGGGTCACTGTGGGTTAGAATTGACTTCATGACATCTAACAAAATGTTGGGATAGCACAAAGATGATTACAAAAGGGCATCCCTTGAAGTATAGAGTATATTGACCACAGGGCAGACAGAGTGGTGGATTATAGAAATTTTTATTGCTCAATTTCAGAATTTTAATTTGTTTTGACTTCTGTAGTTATGCTTCTCAGCGACTCAAATGAAATCTGAAAAGCAATGATCTGTTTAATGGAAAGTATATTTCTTCCTTCACTGTTGTTCAACTCACCAGATACATGGAAGTATCTGCAGAAGATGTGATCCTCCCTTCACCGTGAGAGGTAACAAACACAGATTTATGTTTTCCAGGATGCTTCACCTTGTCCGGTCCAAGTGACGTGAGTGGTCCAAAGACAGGAACATTGACAGTGGAGTGTAATTATGAGGAAGGATGGGAGACCTACTCCAAGTGGTGGTGTCGAGGTGCTCGTTGGCAGGTCTGCAAAATTCTTGTCAAAACAACGGGATCAGAAGAGGTGGTGAAGAAGGACCGAATAACCATCAGAGACAATCAGCAAGACCGTAAATTCATTGTCACCATGGAAAAGTTTGGAAAAAGTGATGAAGACTTTTACTGGTGTGGGATTGAGAGAACTGGAGTCGACCTTGGAGTCCAGGTTAAAATGTCAATTGGCCCAGGTAAGTGTGTGTGTGTGTGTGTGTGTGTGTGTGTGTGTGTGTGTGTGTTGATGCCTTTCAATTCTTGTTCTGTTGTGGTCCTTGGTCATTTGACTGATTAAACTATAGGCAGACCCGAAGGTGACCAAACCTTCAGAGGTGTCAATGAACCCCCTTGTCCACTTGGGGTAGGGAAGAGTGGCTTCTCTTCAAGGATTTCTTATCGTGTTCACAGTTCCTACAAGATGGAATAAAGCTTTTCTGGATCTATTTTCTTCTCTTAATAGCTCGGTCTCTTGCCCACAGGGAGTAAGGGCATACTTTTTAGTTCCAGCTCATGAGTTAAAGAGAATTCCATTCAGGGGACTCAGAGATTCTAATCTTTGTCAGAGTTTTCTTAGGATCTCTAGTGTACAGGTAGAGTTCTAGGCTGAGATTTCTGGATATAGTAGATCATGTTGTTGTTGCTATGTACTATTGAGTCAATGGTGACTCATGGTGACCTTATGCACAAAAGCTGCGAACCTTGCCCTATCCTGAGCCAGTCTTACTGCTTCAGACATATCTACTCTCATTATGCTAGTTACTGATTAACTAGGGTAATCTCATCCAGAGTCTCCATCTTCTGTGAGTCCCTTCATCATTCTAAGCATGATGTTCTTCTTCAAGGACTGGTCCCTCTTGGCAAAATGCGCAATGTATGTCAGATGAAGCTCCATAATCTTTGTCTTCAAGGAGCAATTTGGTTTCACCCTCTCCAAGATAGACCTGTTTGTTCTCTTGGCAAGAGATTTAGAAATGATACTAGAAGAAAACTTTCCAGGTATTATGAAACATGAGGGCACACATATTCTAGAAGCTGAGCAGACACCAAACACACTAAACCACAGAAGAAAAACATTAATACACGTAATTTTCAAACTAAGAAATAAAAGACAAGAATAGAATACTTAAAACAGCAGGAGAAAAATATAGTCACCTACAAAGAAGAACCAATTAGCTTAAGCTCTGACTTCTCAGAAGAAACCATGTGAAAAAGAGAACAATGGCATAGCATATACAGATGACTGAAAGAAAACAATTGCCATCTAAAAATCCTGAATAAAGATGTCCATCAAATGTGAAGGAGAAATTGGGACATTTGCAGAAATATGGGACTTAAGGAATTTGTGAAAACAAGACCAATTCTACAAAGAATACTAAAGGATGTTCTTCACACAGAGACAACAGAGGAAGATGGACCGAAGTAAGTAGAAACAACAGAAAAAGGAACACAGCAAAATTATCCCATATTAATATATATCTTCTACCCTCTGACTCTGGTATGAACTGTTCCCTCAGGACTGCCTTAGAGCTATTTCAGAGGTGTTGGTATATTTTAATTTGTTTTGAGGAGCTTTTTTTATTTCATTCTTTATTTCTTTTATAACCCAATCATGTTCTAGCAGAGACTTAATTAGTTTCCAAATGGGTGGCTTTGTAAACCTTATTTTCTTAATTTCTAGTTTTATGTCAAAGTGGTCTGAGAAGATACTTTGTATTACTTCAATGTTTCTGAATTTGTTGAGGCTTACTTTGTGTCCTAATATGTGATTGATTCCAGAATGAACCATGTGGACTTGAGAAAAAAAGTTAATTGAGTTTTAGTTGGGTGCAGTACAGTGAATACATCCACAAAGTTAAGCTGGCAGATCATATAGTTTAGATCTTTTGTCTTATAGTTTAGATCTATTGTCTTTGTTAAGTTTCTTTTGTGTTGACCTATCCTTTGATAATAGTGGTATGTTGAAATCTCCTGTCACTATTGTGGTGCTATTTCTTCATCTAATTCTGTTAATCATTGTTTTATGTATTTTGCAGGTCTATCAGTTGGTGCATAAATGTTGACCAAGGTTATGTCTTCTTGACTTATTATACCTTTAATCAGTATGGAATGCCCTTGATTATCTTTTATGATGGTTTTCATTCTGAAGATTATTTTATCAGAGATCACTATTTTTTTCTTACAGCCTTTGATTTTGAGTTGATCTTTCCATTTTTAAGATGAATCTCCTGTAGGCAACATATTGATGAACTTTGTGTTTTTACCTATTCTGCTATTCTTTTTCATTTTTGATTGGCACATTTAGTCCATTCACTTTAACTGTGATTACTGACACTTAATTGCTATGTTTTATGCTTGCCACTTTGCTGTCTTTCTTTTCTGTTGTTTCTGGTTACTATTGTCCATCCACTTTCTTTTGGTGTTTCTGTGTGAAGAACTTCCCCTAGAATTTCTTGTAGAGCTAGTCTTAATTTGACAAATTC